TCATGAGGCCAGACTTACATATTTGTTTAAGGATTTCTCCTGTGGTAACCTAAGGCTTAAGAGTTGGGATAAGATTGGTTGCACAACTTCATATTAAGGCCAATGGTATCCTGAGGTGCATTGGAACAGGGGCCTGTGAGTTGAGGGAGTTGATTCGCTCAGCCGATGGCATGTCTGGAGTGCCATGTCCAGTTGTGGGCTCCCCAGTACAAGAAGAACAAGGAGCTACTGGAGGAGGTCCAGCAAAGGGGCCACAATGATGGCCAAGGGATTGGTGTGTCTTTCTTAGGAGAGACTGAGAGCTGGGCTCTGAGGCGTTTAGTCTGGAGAAGACTGAGGGGATGTCATTACTTCATATAAATACCTCAAACGTGGGTGTCAAGAGGATGGTGCCACTCTTTTCAGTGATGCCCAGCAACGAGAAAAAGGAGCAATGGACAAACACCTTAACAGGAGGAAGAGCTTCTTTACAATGAGGGTAGCAGAACACTGGCACAGGCTGCCCAGGGAGGTTGTAGAGTCCCCATCTGGAGACATTCAAAACCCCCCTGGATTAGTTCTGTATCACCTGCTCTAGGTGACACTGCCTGGCAGGGGAGTTGGACTGGATGCATTCCAGAGGTACCTTCCAACCCTATTAATTCTATGATTCTGTGTGACGTCTTGATGTTAGTCCTGTACGTGGAAATGTGACAAAAACCTGAGAAGTAAAATACAGAATTCTTGGATGATAAGTGGCCAATCAATAAGGTTTTGTCTTCATCAAATAATCTAATCTGACTGAATTGCTTTCTGGTGTAAGCAGGTGGCATCTTTTTAGTCCCTGCATACAAGCAGTATCTTGAGACATGACTTGTGATTTATTTTGAAATCTAAATTCTGATCTTGAAACTCTAAAATAATTAGGAAGAAAATAAGTGTAGACTGTACTGCTTGTATGGGTGGTGTACTTTGGAATGTGAGGATTTTGAAGTAATTTTTTATCTGTAGTGGTGTCAATGTATAGCAAACCAAGCCTCATGAGGAGGGGTGGTGTTATATTTTTTTCCACTAGTAGTCAAGGATGGACCCCCCTCCTCTGCCCCTCAACACTCCTCTTTGCTCTCCAGCTCTCAACACTTAAGGAAATCTTAAAAAACACAATACTGCTTTTTCCATAAAATTTGCCTTACTTGAAAGGGAGTTGGAGTTGATTCTGGATAAATAACTATTTATTACTAAAAAATCAATTGTTTTTCCAAAAGAGATCAAGTTGTTGTAGCTTGCATACCACATAAGAAACAAACATGAGGAAAATGGCCTATTGTTTTGGCCAAAAGGTTTTCAAAAGTACCTGATAAAAGAGGAGGCAAAGCAGAATGCTGAAAAATTAGTAGCAAATACAAGTTAAAACACAAAAACTATATTTCATTTATGTGAGAAAATATGAGAATGTTGTTATTATTAATTGAATGTTAATTGTGCTCTCCCAGCCGTGACTGAGCAAAGTATTTAAATGGTTTTTTTTCTTGCAAAATCAAGTATATTTAAAAACGCATAATTTTCTTCTCTGTTTTTTATGTGGCTTAGTTATTGTAATTGCAGAGGTATGAGAGGAAAAGAATCTTGGGATATTAGCATACCTCTCATTTTCAGCTATATGTTATTCCTTACAACTTGTCTTAAACTGCATCAGCTTTTGAGTGTGTACTGTTTTTTTCTAATGCAGACTTCTGTTTGTAGAATACTCTGTTAAAGACATGCCCCTTGTTTTCAGAGCAGATTTCAGCACTTTACCACTAATGGGATTATGTTAAAATCTAATCCTTTCAGGAGTAAGGACATCTGTAGTGTACACTCGGATGAACTGCAGTTGAACCATGTTTGACCTTCAGTGTGGATATATAACATTAAGAAAATTTGGTTTAGGACAATTTTTTCTTTAGAGTGAAGACTTTCCCAGTTATTTTTGTGTGAAGTGCCTATGTAATTACACTTTTTTACATAGTATAAATGTGTGTACCCTTGTGTGACCTGAAAGAGGGTCTAATCGAAATAGATAATATGGAGAAAGAATAAATACAAATAGTGCTTTATGTTACAAATTATTCTGAATTGCCTATTCACTTTCATAGGTCAAAAACTGGTCTCTGGAGATGACCTGCTACTTTAATATGCTTTTTAAGGATAGCTGTTTAAAAAATGCACCTAGTTTTTGTTTTCCTTTTTAGTTCCGTTTGGTAAATAAAAATTTACTGAAATTGAAAGCATGGTGTTTAATTTGGATAAGTATGTTTCAGTAGCAAATCCAAAACAAGGACTGCCATTAAACTGTAAAAATTAATAAATAATATCGTAACAGCAAAAATTGTTACGTGGAGATGTGTGATTCTGTCAAGATAGAAATGTTTTTCCTTTGCTAGAGGAACCAAATGAAGGAGAACAGTGTTGTGGAAAAATCCCTATAAATGCCTGGATCATTTAGACAGTTGAAATCCCAGGAGAGTCCAGACACTGGAGCTGCTGGATTTAATGTCAAGGTAAAGAACAGCCTTCCTTGCTTGTGATGGGGAAAATCATTTTGACCAGCAAAATAAGGAAGGCAGTCCTTTCTGCTAAGGCTCCTGGCTGCCTGATTTTTCCCATTTCTCCTAGGAATCCTGCTGTGAGCCCCCTGCAGATAGGTCTCTTTAATGATGAGGAGTCCTGCTGTACCAGCATCTGAGTACTTCATACAGACTTTTCCCCTCGAAGGAGCAACTGGCTGACTCTAGGTGAGCTGTCTGGCTCCAACAGGTAATGTGTTCTGGGAAACAAAGTGTTATAGGAAGTACTGCATTTCAAAAAAAAGGATTTATTGCAGAATTCGCTTGCTGGGAATACTGCTTATTGGTTTGTTTTGGCACAGATTGCCTTTTGTTTCAGAAAATTCAAATTGTTGCAGGATGGAAGCCCTTTCCTCCTGAGCTCATTTTGTTCATGGTTTTAATGAAGAAAAAGCATTAGTGCTGGAAATAATATTTCTGACATCCTCATTTTTGTGGGCTGAATTTGTCTGTCTGATTTTAATAAGTAGTTTCAGTTTTGAAACATTAAATCAGCATCTAGTGAAATTCCTTACACATTTAAAGAATTGACAAAGGACTTGGTAAGTGTGATGGTGATACTGGTGTTAAAAATCAGGTAGCTAAAGGTGAAGCATATTCCTGTCACAGATGTTTTTGCATGTGTCACTGATGTTGGTTTTGGGTGAGGATAGAGAGAAAGTAGAGCAATTCTTAAATTCTTAAATCAGATCAAATTACTGTTAATCTTTGTTCAGAGTATCTTTTAGCTTTCATTTTCTGTCCTAAATGATTTTCATGCCCTTAAACTACTTTTTTATTTTTCTCAGAGGTTCCTGTGTTGTCAGGTAGCCTAAAGCACTTCAGATAATAGGTGGGAAACATAAAGTAATTCTTAAAATAGAGTGTGGTATTTTGCAATAGCAGAGGAAGGAGATGTAAAAAGAAACTGGAATGAAGAAACAGTCCTGAGGAAAAAATAAAATAATGCAACCAGCCCTTAAACAAAAACCAAGAAGAGATTGCAAGCTTACTTTCATGGCAAAGGAGAAGCATATTGTATGAATTGGAAACCCTATTTTTTCCCCTTCTGGACTTTTCATGCTGTTTTATACTGACCGTTGCAGGGTTTAGTTGGAAATCTGTTGCTGGCTAAAAGAGAGTGAATTTGTTGTTTCCACAGCTCCCTCTAGGCAGCAGCAGTAATCCACATATAATTTAGGGAATTCTTACTACAGTCAGACTGAAACCAGCACAAATACAGCTTTAGTGCTGCTTGGTATTTCAGTGCTATCCTGCATATGTCAGCAGTAGGCCATGAGGAAGACAGATACTCGGGTAACACCTCAGAGCCTGCAGTGAGAAGGTTTTTGTTAAAACTCATGTTACTGCTCTGGTTTAAGTTGTTGCAGCTTTGCCTTCACAAAAGACATAAGTACTGCAGTTTTTCTTCACTTTTCAAGGAAAAGTCACTGTCATTTCAGCTGAAGCTGAGACAGCCAGCGTGGGCTTGGCAGTCTGGTCAGTTATCAGTCTCAGTGTTTAAAACAGAGGCTCTTCCAGACAGCAAAGTAGGTCTTATAAAAAGTATCACAGTATATGTATGAATAACAATCCTGTAGTTTGAGTCACTTTCTAATGACTATTTAGTGAGCTCTTAGATATGGCTTGTTAATGAAGTTGATGTTCACAACATATTTTTTTCCTTAAGAGAGAAGAAACATAACCCAAAGGATATTCCTCATCACAGCTGCATATTCAATAGCTGAGAACCAAAATTAGTGGGTTCCTTGTCCTTGAAACTATTATCAGAGCTTCATGAACTTCAGTGGAACTGAACAGGTGTGCAGCAGTAAGGATATGACTTGAGATGGCCACAAGTACAAGCCCTGGCATTGCATATAATCGGGACATCACAGAGAAGTCCTCACAAAAAAGTGGGGTAAGATTCAAGTTGATTATATTAATCCCATGGAAGTTAAACTCTTGAAAGGAGTAAGTTCAGGAGGGCCCCAGTGAGGTCCAAGTCAGGTGCTGCAGTTCATGAGACTTTTCCACATTTTGGAATAGTGACCCAATATATTCAGAGTGGAAAGTAAGTCCAGGCAGTTACAAAACTACACAGCATTGGTATCCTGTCTGAGAACCTAGAAATTCATACCGATGTGTGTACAGGGGGGCACAGGGGGGGGGTCAGGTGTGGAATGGGAGTAGGAAGTTAGAGCTGATGGGTTCTGATTAAATACTCTGTGCATTATCCTCATAGAGCCTTCATTTGTTTACTTTCACATCATGATTTCCAGTCACACAAAAATTAATCTGGTCGGATGGAAGTGACTAAACAGGTGAAAAATATTCCAGCTTTATGGAGATGCATTGAATTCTAGGTTTATGATGTTGTTAAAATTTCCTGGTGTGTGTCACTAAGATCTCTTAACCATCTTCTGTTCCAGGGCACAGTGAGGGCCCTTCAACATCTCCTGACTTAGTCTACAAAGCCTACATGTAAGTGCAGTGTAATGTCATGTTTTCAGAATCCCTACAAAGAAGAGAGTGCCTAAGGGAAAGGCATAGTATCCAACTAATTTTGTGCCTCACAATTTTAACAGCAACCCAGAAACCATTTGATTACTGAGTGGTTTTAGAGTGTAGTTGCCTGGTATCTGTTAGAAAAACAATACAGATTATGCTGCTATTACCCATCAGCCTTCCCAAACAGCCTGGGAGGGAGGGTTTGGTTCATATTAACACATAAGCGTAGGGCTTCTACTCAAATCAAGCTGATCTTTCTAAGGAGATTTTTTTGGTGCAGATTTTCCTGTAATTGAGAGCATTCATACTTTATTTATCCTACAAGAAAGGAAGCAAGAGGGCATTTGTGTTAATAAACCAAAATGCTATGGTAGTGATGTGAAATTTATCTTTGGCTGCTTGTGCTATTTTCAGAATCCAAACACCAGTAGCAGGGCAGGGTGTGCCCTTTGACCATAGCTGACTTGTTGCAGATGATGTCATCTAGAACCAATACCTGCTCTGTAAAAAACTCGCATTTCTCTCTGTTGGAGAGAGAGGAGATTACTAAAGGTCACCTGAAGTCATTAAATTGCTCAGAGAAGGTTCCAAGTTTTCATAACTAAGGCCCCATCTCAACTTTATGCCTTTTTTTATTTTTCGGATTATCTTGGGTGTAATGAATGATGGTTGTGGAACCCCTGAGCTCAGCATTACTACTGCTGTTCCTTTCTATCCCTACTGCACTGCCTGAGATGGCCATTTAGGACATCCCTCTCACAGTTTGTGATGGAGCTAAAAGCCCCCGAACCTGCATCAGACAGTGTGTCATGGGATAGGTCAGCCAAGGAGAACAATGAAGTTCAATGCAAAATAAATAGTATTAACTTCTTTTATAGGAAAAATATTTTAAAATTTCCCAAAAAAACTTGTTGAGCCTCTTCCAATGTGAAACAAAACATTTTATTCCCATGCTTCCCATTATTTCTGAAGTATTCTAGAGAGCATACATAGTAAATGCCAGAAATAACACAGCTTGCTGCAATGGATTTAAAATAGCAAGTATTACATAGAGGTGTGCACAAGCCCAAAAATGGCTCAAGGAATTGATCAGAGCAGGAATGGAAGAGAATACCTATAGTATACAAACATTTACAAGAAAAGATCTGTCAAATAAATTATTTAAATTCTATTTGCCTGTACCTTTCCAAGAGCTTCTAAAATATTTTTTTACCAAGTTAAGTACAAGAAGGACTATGCAAGATAAACTGGAAATATCAAACTTTGTTGCTACAGGCAGCATCTCAGAATTCTTTTAACAGGTATAATGCATATGCAATAATGAGAGACAGAAAAGTTCAATAATGCGTAAATATATCTGTCATCCATTAGTAACAGCAAACAGCTGCATTAGTTTACAAACAACCTATACCAGTCCAACATACCACATCTTTCTGAAGTCTTACTAGTTTCTGTGAAAGAAATGTTCTGGTTTAAGGCCCATGTTAATTTTGAAAACACCTTTAACATAAATTTTGATTTAGTCTTTCTTTCTGAAAAAGAATATGATTTAAGCTTAGTTTTTCTTTTCCAGTGGTACACTGGAAGTCTGTAGGATAAATGTCCATTAGAGCTTGATTGTCTTTGATGATGCTGAGATACTAAATAAAGGCACTCAGAAAACTGTTTCTCCCTCTAAAGGTTACTCCAGTATCAGAAGGGTGGCAGAACCTGGCAGGGAGTGTGTTGCATCTGAAAAGTCCCATGTTTGTATGGGACTCTTGGACTTGTGGCCAGAGCATTACAAATGCAGCTGTTTCAAGAGTAAGGAAGTTTGCTGATCTGCACGCTTAAGAAGCTGGCTTTGTTTCTGGTGTAACAATGGGCGACTCCAAATTACAGAAGAGGAGGTAATAAATTATTATTTGCATGGATTTCAGCAGTTTTGCTTTCAGAATTTGTGGAGAATCAACCTAAAATGGAAACATGCTTCTTCTCCAAAATAAGCAGCTAAATTAGTCTATAATGCAACATTGTAGATTTTTTTTAAATGACATTAACATTGATAGATAATTTATTTTCTGTGAGTTCATCTTATGGAATTCATTAATCTAGGCCCTTCCTTCTGCTCACTGAAGCGGCCTTCATTTATAATCAGAAGTACAAAATTGAATTGCATTTTAAATATTTGGAAAATATAGAATCAAATAGAGTATGTACATGGCATTTGCAGTCACTCAGTTTCCAGCTGTAGTAGCCAGCAATTCAAAGGGTTCTACCATTATGGTTTTTTTTGGATACTAGTCACCCACATTATATAAGCCCTTACTATTGTCTGATTTATTTAATTATAGTTCCTCAAAGACTATAATTCCATTAAAACCAGCATAGCTATTACAAAATTAATTTTAAAATACCTACCTGAAGGCAAATATTCACACAATATTTTCCATTCTTATGCCAAGACTTTCAAATACATGAGTGAAATGATCCATGGTAACCTTGGTAGCAGTTCTGCAGAGCCAGTCTGTGATCCTGCCAGCAAAGCCAGGCACTCAGGCCACTCAAGTGTTAATGCAGCTGGTGCAGAGGAGCTCCTACCCCAAGTGCTGTTGTCTGTAGGAGGTGGAGGGCCAGGCCTTCATTTGTTTGTGGTGTATGAATGAGCTGAGCACAGCCAAGCTTGACCTTGGTCTGCCCCATCTAGCAGCAGGCAGGGCAGAAGGATGCTTTAGACTGGGGGCTGTTCCTTATGTCTGAGTGTGGATTTCCTTAAGCACTCTGGAGAGCATGTGTGCCAGCTAGAGCCAGGCTGTGGTCAGCCAGAGGATAACTATGTGATTCTTGTAGTTGTGCTGCAAACATTACGAAGGTCGGGTAACAGATCTCACTGCAAGACAGATGTTCTTAAAACATGGGAGGAACTAGAAGTCAGCCTTTAATGCGGTGAACTGTATGGCGTGAAGGAACCCAAAGGTGTGATCCACTCCCTTGGTCTAAGTTGAGGTTTGAGGCGGCTCAACATAGAAAATGCTAAAAGGAAAGGTCTACCCTGTGAGAGAGGGGTAAATAGGGACAGCAGAAGTGGTAAGAAAGCAGGAATTGCAGGGTGTTCAGAGCAATAAATATGCTCACATAAAACAGCACTGAAATTTGGTAACAACTGGATCAGTCATCCAAAAAAACCCAACAACTATCATTAACTTGACTGGGTAGCCTAGTCTTCAACACAAATTCAAATAAACTAGCTCCTAAATATATTTATCAAAAAGTGAGAGAGTGATAGTAACGGACACAAATGCCCTAACGTAGAAACATTACCTGGTGTCTTATGAGCAGTTGCAAAATCAGTGATAATTTGCCTTTTACCACTAAAAGGCAGTGTGAAGCTTGTTTTCCCACCTCACCAAACTAAACCAAGAACAGCAAACAAAAGACTGGATTTGTTTCAGGTCAGGATGACAGAATGAGAAGAAATTGTTCCATTTTTAGGCCTGGTGGAAGTTTTAGAAATTTGCTATTAGAAAAAAACCAATCTTTTGACATGTAGATGTTTGAGAACTTCAACCTTTAATATTTTTTTAAATATGATTTTAATTATCCAACTTTGTCCATTTGTTCAGTTATATAAGTACCCCCAAGTCTTACTATTTGGCTTTTTTTTTTTAAGATGAGAGCATATTTTATATTTGCTCAGTTTATATTTATTTATTTATTTATTTATATTTATATTTATATATATTTATATATATATATTTTTTTTTTTCCTATTTAGGTAGAGCATTCACATCTACTTCCAGAATTATCATCAGGACTATGTGTTTTGCCCTCCACTGATAAGAGGTTCAAATAAGTGGTTTGTCTGAAAGAAGAGCACTCCAGAGGTACTTTCAGCTATGGCAAAGCCTAACCTAGGGGAAAAGGATATGGACAATATTGTCTTCTCACTTGATTCACTATATGCACCATCACCTCTTGACCAGGTTTTGGCTGTGATACTTTGAGATGCTAGAGCTCAGTTTGCTTGCATTCTTCCATGAGAATTTGGTTCTGCATTGTCACAGCAGGAAGGTAATCATTGACTGGGTCTTGAATGCTTGTAAGAACCTGACCTATCCCTCGGCTGATTCTCTGCCCATAAGACCCACTGCTGTGTTTGGCTGAGACTGTCTGACCTCTGTAGACTTGAGCCTGATGCTCACAAATACCGAACTTGCTTAGCAGGATAAACACATCTCTGCGGAAAGCTTTAGTGAAAATAGCATAAAGAAAGGGGTTGGCACAAGAATTGAGTGGGTAGAAAAGTACCAGCAAAATCTTGGAATTGGAGACAGTTATTAATGGTTTGTTCATAATGGCAGATAAAGCATGGAAAGAGATGGGAGCCATGCACAGAAAGTCTGTGAAAATCAGCACAGCCATCCGCTTGGCAATTTTGGTGTCTTTGTCCCCTGACTTGTACTGGGGGTTTCGCACAGTCGTGTAGATTTTTATGTAGCAGGCACAAATGATGACAAAAGCGATAATGTTGCATATTAAAACAAAGACAATGTAGGCTTCAGCCACTGGTTTTTCAGTGTCCATAGGCAGGCAGATGCTGACTTTGCTATAGCTGCTGACACCAACCAGTGGCAAAAGGGCGAGCAGGATGCAGGAGAGCCACCCTCCCAGCATGATGAGCACGGCGTGCCGCAGGCGAATCTTCCGGTCGGGCCGCATGGCGAAGGTGATGGCGTACCAGCGCTCCAGGGTGATCACGGTCAGGGTGTACACAGAAAGTTCACTGGCAAAGACTGTAAAAAACCCGGCTGTGCTGCAGCCAGGCCCAGTCTGCCACTCTATGGCATGATTATAGTACTCTGACCTGGTGTGGAGATCCACTGAAGCTATCAGAAGGAGGTATATCCCCATGCAAAAGTCAGCAAAGGCCAAGTTACACATCAAAAAGCGAGGTACAGTCAGTTTATAATGACTGGTGAGAAGGATGAAAAGGACAAAAATGTTGCCTAGGATGGCAAGCAAGTTCACAAACCACACCACAATCCTCAGAACCTGATATCCCATTATATCCTCACAGGGATTAAACTCATCAGGCTCTGGTGTGCATATTACGTCTTCATTGCCTCCACAGACGGGATAGTCATAATGACTGTCAAAGGTCTGGACATCTTCCATTTGAGGGTTCTTGAACTCTTTGCCAAAGTCAAGATTTCCTTCTCCATGCTCTTCCAAAAAAATGTAATAATGGGGATTTTCATGAAAGCTTGTGAACTTGGTGTTTGTGTCATACACAGAATTGGTGTGGTCTGTGTATTCTTCTGCATAATCTTTGTAAAATGGGTCTCTGAGAGTCTTGACTGATCTCTTATGAAAGCTGTGACTGCTCTGGTTACACATCAGGTACTCCAGGATCCTGAAAGAGTAGAGGGGGAAATCATTGTTGGCATTTAGAGTCTGACTGGTGCATGGGATGTGAACAAAGGGCATGCTCCAAAACCATTCATCCTGAATGAAAATGTACCTATAAAAATGTGATTGGATATATTTTTGTTAACAGACCATAAAACGTACAATAGCTTTTCTGGGCTATTTTTATGTAACTGTATTTTTAATTTTATCCCCAGTAGTAATTTTACCTGTTTGACATCCATAATCCATCTTCTTTTTTGAGATCTACATTCTTAGTAGGTAAGAAGACATTTATCTACTGTTTATAACTTCTTGGATAATACATACACTATTACTTTATTTTTCACTGTTGCTCACTGTTCAGTTTCTCTCAGAACTTTCATCAGTCTAATTTCTGTTTAGTAGCTTCTTTTCAGCTAACTAGCAGTGCGGCAATTTGGAATTCTGTACCTTATGGTGTGATGCAGCAGTATTTGCAGTCAAAAAAATTTCAATAGTTAACAGCTTTTCATTTAGAAAACATGAGACTTGAGGCTATAACCTCTCCCAACACTTTCTTTCCAGGCCTTGCTGTAGCACATTACCCTTTTTCTTCTTTCTTTCACTTTAATTCTGGGCTCAACAAGAGGAGGAACTGTTGCAAAAGGTCTTAAAAAAAATTCTTCTTACAAAAAATTCTTCTGCCAGTTGCAAGTGTAACCTTCAAAGAACATTGTCTATACCTAGAAAAAATTGTTACAAAAGTGCCGATAGATGTATTTTTACAAACATTGTCTTTACTGATATATTTAATAAATGCCAGTTAGTGAAACTCACCCACTTCTTTTTTTCCAGCTCTTGAAAGCACAGCAGTGACTTGGGTATGATAGGTCAGCTCGCATTAGCTGAAGAAATACCTTTACAGCTGGTAATTTCTTTAAAGTCCACGTATTTTTGGCCATTAGTTCTTTCAGGCTTTCCAATCCTTTGGCTGGAAGGTTGGCTACAGCTGTTCTGGAGACATCCCTAAGCAAGAAAAAGATGACTAGATCAGATTTTTTTTCAGATTGTTACTGTTCTTCAGGAGTTTCATATAATTCTATAATAAAAATAAAATCCTAAGGAGGTGGAGATTTCATATTGCTAAGTTCTGATACTATTTGAATTCAAGTAAGTCTGTTCATTTCTGTATGATTTTCACTGTCTTTTAAAGCTCTTGTCTTTAATGTCTTTTAGCACAGAATATGTATTATAAAGAAATATCATGACTTTTAAAATTACACCTTTAAAGCCAAACAGATACAAATACATATGCAACCACACAGTTTTAAAAATCCTTTAAAGAAATCACATCTTCCATTGGAAGAGTTATATTCCCTTAGACTTCTTTGTCTTAATTTTAACCTATTGGCACACTTTAATAGAAAGCATTGGAATTCCTAAAATAATATTCTCTATATACTGAATTTAAAATCTTCTATTGTAGTCCACCCTGAATCTCTCAGAAAACTGAGTTTTATGTTTGTTGCTTTCTACTTGTTTGCTGAGGTGGACTCAAGAGAGATATGATGGACAGTTGATGGGGACCTGGCTTTCCTTTCATACTGCCAGGTGAGTGTAATCTGATTCTGCTAATACTTTCTACTCAGTTTTTGCTTTGTCCCAAAACCTCTTCTAGTGACACTTGAAAGTTTTTAGAGTTACAATCTGTGAAGAAGTAAACCTGTAAAAAAGAGTTCATTGTTTGAGCATTGTTTTATCATTAACACCCTCATAATAAATCTGGTTTTTCTATGCTTTCTTGTCTCTCTAGAAGTCTTGTTCACTGTTCGGTTTCTTGCACCCAAAAGGAAATTAGAAATAATTTTATGCTTTAAACAATTTTTAAAATGTCTACAACATTTGGGTTTGCTCTATTGTTTCTTTTTTCATTTTGGTTTGTTTGTTTTTGAGTTAGAAAATGCTGCTCCTTTTTGTAGGAAAACTTTTTCACTTCTAAACGCTCCCTTGCTATCATATGTTCTTTAATATGTTACAACTAATTAATTTCAACTACAAGAAATTCTTTTTTGTTCTCCTGGGGTCTTTTTGGATAGATATTTCTACCAACAGCCTGAACTGGCTCTTAGAAGAGTCTAAATATTGCCTGCTATCATTTTACCTTCTAAAGAATCACCGAGTAGTTGAGTTTCCAAATCATCCAGTTTGACCTTTTTGATCAAAACAGGGTCACCTGGAGCAGGTTTCTTTGAGCTGTCCTCCATTGACTTCTCAGCATCTCCAAGTCAGGAGACTCCACAGCCTCTTTAGCAACATCTTACAGCATTTGAGCACTCTCACAACAAAGAAATTTTTTCAGATGTATGATGAGGTCACCTCTCAGTTGTTTCTTCTCAAGGCTGAATAGTCTTAGCTCCCTGAGCCTTTCCTTGTGAGAGAGATGCTCCAGTCCTTTAATCATCTTTGTTGCTCTCCACTGGACCTGTGTCAGGAGCTCCCAGTCTCTCTTGGACTGAGGAGCCCAGGACTGGACACAGCACTCCAGCTGTGGCCTCACCAGGGCTGAGCAGAGGGGCAGGATCACCTCCCCTGACCTGCTGGCAGTGCTCCTCCTTCTGCAGAAAAACATCTTCGTAAATTAGATCTTGGGATAGACTTTACCAAGACAAGACTGGCTTTTCAGCAACCCTCACGGGTCTTCATCAAGTTCTCATGGTTGTGGCAGCTATCTGCAGGTAGGTTAAACACTCTGTGATGGGAGATACTAAGACTCTTCGAAAGGGAAATTACAACTCACAAACTTTTGAGAGTTCTTTGAAGATACACTGGCACAAGCTTATGGAGAAAGATGAGCCTGTTTGTGCAATGAGTTGGGAATTCTGACAAGCCTTGACAAAATCAGATATCAAGGGCTGTTGAGGTAACTAATCTGTTACGTGACAAGGGGAATGTCTCTTCTGGATTAATTGAAAAATAAAAGAGTGGGGTAAAAGCCTGAGAACAGATGACAAGATTTCATGCTAGAGGAAGAATGGAAAGTTAATTGGTATCTGAATATACAGAGGCGAGGCTGGCTCTGGTGCTACTGAAATACTCATAAATAGTCTGGGAAGGAAGTGAGATTAGCTGCAACAAAGCTTGTTTCTGGCACAAGGTAATACAAGGTAGTGAAAGCTAAACTTGATTGTCTAAATAAACAGAAGGCTTCTACAATAGTATGTGACTGAGCAGAAAAATTATATGCTTCAAAATTAATGAATGTAAAATACATTTAGGAAAAAGGCAATTTTAACTTTACATGGATGACAGTGGGGTTTAATTACCTATCACTCTTGAAAGTTCTTGGAGTCCTCAGCAAATGTCACATCAGTGCTTTTAGTAATGTTGAAGGAAAATAGAATGCTAAAAATTCTTGGGAAATAAACAGAAAATAGAGAAAAAAAAACTTGACTTTGTAAATCTAGTATGACTAACTGAAATATTACCTGCAGTTCTAAAAATAGTATATGCAGTTACAATAAGAGCGCGGAAAGTTGCAACTAGGATGATAGAAGTATCAAGTTGTTTATATATGAAGTAATAAGGTACAGATAAGGACTTTTTGTCTTGAAAAAAGCTACATCTAGAAGCAGCAGTAGTAGTCTATAGTGTCATGTAGATTGTGAAGAAGGTGATTGGTAATGATTATTCACTCTTGTGAGATGAGTTTTGGAACACTTAAGAATGTGAGGCGAGAGATTTAAAAATAAGAGAAGGCATAATTTTTCACACAATTGCATCATTGTGAAATCAATGCTGTAGTTCATCATGTAGGCCAAAAAGTAACAAGAACAAATATACCTTTTTGATTTGGTTGTATTCATAGTTGTGTAACATTCACATCAGAAATGTCTGGATCAGCAAGAACACCCTGAGGGACAGTGGCTCATGCTTTGGAAACAGCTGCTGAGAGGAGCTTCTCTGGATGTACAGGGAATGGAGCTGCAGCTCCTGGAGAGTGTAAAAAGATGGAAGTAGCAGGGCTCCAGTTGTGGAAGCAATTTTCCAGGGAGCAGAGGTGAACATGCAAAGTCTGTGTCAACTCAGAGTGTTACCAAGTGATAGTAAAAAGTGTGAAAGAAATATCTGTTCAGTGAAAAAAAGGGCTTGGAAGAATTAGTTGTAAGACTATGTAATTTCTGTTCTGTCTTACCAAATCCTCTGAATTCTTTTGTGTATGTGCCTATGGGTGTGTATTTAAGCAGACAGGTATTGAAGGTTTTGTTTTTAAGTACTCTTTTATACTGGGGAGCTTGGGGAAAAGTTACAGGAACAGATGCCTTGAAGTTCTTTTTGATTTTAGAATTAATTCTGGTGCAGAGCCAGCAATAGATACTTTGTCCCATCCATGGGCCATATTAAACACAGTGGCTCAGAAGTTTGGGAAGTGAAGTCCCTAAACTGCTGGTATGTGATGTCTGCCACCAAGAAGTCTTGTGTCCCTCTCTGTATCACTGCTATTGCAAATCAAAAAGCTTCCTGGGAGTCTGGTGATAATTTGTCTCCCAAAGGAAGATAATGTTTTGGTTATTCTACATAAGCCCACACTTTGTTTTGTGTGTGTCAGCTGGCCAAGAGCAAAGTGTGGGATTCTCAGGGATTTTTTTTTTTACTTTGCAAATTTAGTCTTGATTATCAAATCAGATTCACAATCTACTTCAAGCAGCATAGCAGTTGTCTTCAACTAGATTGAAAATATTTACAAATAATTACTAATTCTCAGAGCCATGTGAATCCAAGTAGTTGGAGTTGTCCATACTATAGTATCTGTGCCTGCATTCCTAGAGAAGACACATTTTCCTGAATGATCTTTGTGCGCCAGTGTTTAGAATCATTAAGGTTGGAAAAGACCTTTAAGATCAGTCCAACCATCAACCTGGCACCCACCATGTTCACCATGTTCTCAAGTGCCATATGCACACATTTTTTGAACACTTTCAGGGGCTGTGACCACCACTTCCTGGCAGCTTGTTCCAGTGCTTTACAAGCCTTTCTGTGAAAAATCTTTCCTTAATATCCAGTCTAAATCTCCCCTTGCACAACTTGAGGTGATTTCCTTTTGTCCTGTTGCTTCTTACTAAGCTCTGATCAGCCAAGTATGGTCAGTCCCAATCAGTCAAGGATGGTCAGTCCTGATTTTGGTCTGCTCAGAAAAATGGAAACTGACTGCAGCCATGTCCTCTCATTAGCATCCAATCATATTAATAACTAAGATGATGCTTAAACACAGCAGAGCATGCATTGCATGTAAGAGTGTTTTGCTGGCACTGCTGAACTCTAGCTTGCACCCTTAAAGAAACACAAGAGAATGGGCAAGAGGTCTGATGGACTTGTCAAGAGGATCTGTCTCAAACTGAAGTGACCATAAAACAGGCTAGGCAGGAAGCTGATAAAATGAATGATAGCAAGTCAAAAGGACTGGATGATTTTCACCAGAAAAGTTCTGTAGCAGCTGAAGGAGGAAGTAGTTGAATTGGTAAAAGAGTTATGGAACCTTCAGCTTTGCTCTCCTGCAGAAAGGCAGCAAACAAGCCACCAGTGAATATGATATACCTGGGGGAAATCAGGGGCTTTTGTAAAAATATGTCCTGCCTTGCAAACTTCTCTGAGCATTGTGCTTATCATCTGCTCAAAGTCTCCTGGGACTTCTACAAGGCCTTTGACAAATGCCCACAAGGCTGAGACAGAAACCAGACAGACACACCCTTGTGTCAAGTGCTCAGGATTATGGAAAAGGCGAGCAACATTCTCAGCTAGCCTAGAGGCAGAGCAGACTTCAGCTTTTAAGTAGCCATGGTCTGGAGCCACTCAGGTACTGGAAGTGGTTGTGTAGAGTTCTACACTGTGGGGCGGAACAGCAACCAAAGTGCTCTCAACCAGTCTCAACATTTTGGCTTGGTAGTGGTTTTGTTTTGTCCTCACATATTTTCTTGTGTTTCTAGGCTGTTGCTTATCTCAGCTGAAATTTACACATTATACTGAATGTTAGGGAGACATTGGAGAGGTTCAGATAAATGTGGGAATAAAACATAGCTTGTGAATTCACAGATACTGTTTTCTGAACCAACTGTGTATTATAGAAATGTTAAATAGATATTCAGCTGCTCAGATTTTTTTTCTTTTTTTCCTGGGTTATTATATTTTGGTCTAATTCTTTGTTGTTTTATGAAGTCAGTATTTCAGAATTAGATCTAAGTGATTATAGCTTTTGTCAAGAATCCTTTTCATTGCTGGAACTATGCAATTGTAGTACGAAATCCGGTAACAGCAATAATTTAAAAGACAGGTAGTTAAGAAAATGAGATTGAATGTATCATAGTACAAATGAGAATTTTTATGTAATCGTATGCAAGTTTCTGACAACTGGAATAGGTAAAGCATAAAATATATAATAGATGGGCTTAAACTATAGATACTATTTTAACTCTATTGAAAGGTTTTTTTTAAATCTAAAAAGAAGCATTGATTAGCAAAAAAATACAGAGTGCTCTTCTTGCTCAAAGACTTGCTTATGTCTCATGGGAGGAACCATTCCTAGATTGGGAAATGATGCTTTAAAGAGGAATTCTGCATTCTATAGATAATTAACTACTCACATGTATCTTGTGTGACTGTAACATTTTGATTATAATAATGAGCCTGATTGTATTTTTGTTGTACTCTATTGAACTTTTGCTCTAGGCAGCAGCTCTTGTCACACTTAGTAAATCAGGTCCACCGAGTTGCTGAATCCTTGCCAAGGTTTCATTTTGAGGTGAAGAGCAATGTACTGTCATCATACTCTTAAAACAGTTTTCTAAATGGAGTAATCAATGTATACCTCCACATACATCTGAGTATACAACAGTAACAAAGGAACCAGAATTGCTGATATGTTTTCTTCTATTCAGTGAGCACAATCCCTGCTTCCTCTGCTGTTGTAAACTGCAAATTTGAAAAAAAAAATTACCTAGCTTTTCAATACTTGAGTGTCTTTAATTAGGTCTTCTGAGGGCATGGCCAAACTCACACAATATACATATAGTCAGGCACAATTCTTTGTAGTTAAATCTTTCTCATTGGGTTTTTTTAAAGCCAAAATGGAACATTACCTCATTAGGGTGAATCCATGGTCTGTATTTCAGCCTTTAAGTTGCTGTTACTGCTAATATCCTGATAAAAAAAAGCATGATCTCTGGAGTATATATTTGAACTACCATAAATTCCTATCTCATCTGAAGAGTGCATATAGAGCTCCAGAAAATAAGTTCTGCCAGCTTGGTAGGGAGGCAAGACAGAATTTCTCTTTAGAGCTCCATAAATGTTCCCTTTTTGAAATTTAAAAGAAAAAATTCTTTTTTATGCATACTGCTGCCGCTATATGCAATGCCATTCATTGTCCTAGGGAAAAAAAGCAATATTCTCACAATAATTTTCCATAGAGTTAATTTTCAAGATGAAACAGTTTGGAAGTAAAACAACAGCAGGGTGCTTGAACAAAAAATGACTTAACAAACTATTCCTTATAACAAGCGAAGTTGTTTACACTGCCCAAGGGAATATGGAAGGGCTGTTTGGTCAGACTTTTCAGACTGTTACACTAGGTAACAAATCTGTGGTCTCTGTAAGTAACTCTTTGGTCATGATGGTATCGTGGGGGTGTGTACTAAGGCACCAATTGCAAGAACATTTTTGTTGGGAGGTATTAATAAACAACCGTAAATACTAGGTTTTCAATCAGTTTTCATTTTTTGACTTCAGCCCTCTTAAGGTAATGCATATGTGGGAGTTTCAGAAACTCTTTTGTTCCTGTTAAAATAATTCTAGTTCCTGAAGGTCAGCTAAGAGATCTGTCCAGGCAGAAGGATTCCACTTTAAATTGTTGCTAATTTTATGGCAAGCCTTTTCCACATCACACATGCCGAATAATTCCTGGTTATCTGTGGGTAACACAAGCCCTAAGCTGCTATTAAAATTTCAATAAAATAAAAGCTAATAACTTGAATTAATAATTCTTGGTCTTGGTTGGTAAAAAGTTAAATTTCTTGACAGTAGCTAGTATGGGACTATGTTTTTGATTTAGGAGTGAAAATAGTGTTGATAATACAGGAATGTTTTCGCTCTCCTTTACACACAGCCATGGCATTTTTTCTTTTTCACACTATCTGACCAGCAAGGAGGTTAAGAGTGCACAAGAATTAGAGAGAGGATAGCCAGGACAGCTGACCCCAGCTGACCAAGAGATATCTAGACCTTATCAAATCATGCTCAGCAGTAAAGACTGGGTGGACATTTGCCAGGACTGTCATTGCCAGGGGACTGGCTGGGAATCAATGGGCTGGTGTGAGCAATTGTTCTTGTTACATCACTTGTTGTTCTTGGGTTTGATTTGTTTTCTTGCCCCTCTGATTTTTTTTCAACATTTCTTTTTTAATTATTAAGCTGACATTATCTCAACCCATGATTTTTCTCATTTTTACCCTTCTAGTTCTTTCCCTCATCTCATTGGGTGCGGGGGCAAATATGCAACTGTGTGGAGCTGAGGTGCAGGCCAGTGTTAAACTGGGACACCATCCTAGGAGCTTTATCTTAGGACTTGCTTATCAAAGTATCATGATGTGAAATACTCTGGCTTTTTCAATCCACTGTTGATTTACTGTGTTTACCTGCCTTTGAGAAGTGAGACCTCTCTCTGTAATGACACTATGGTATGTCCCACATCTCTCTTTAGTTATAAGTACTGCTAGGACTCTTATTAGCCATGAAGGGTTATCATTCTAAGAGGAGATGGATAGTGGGCTGTTTAGACTGCAAGTATAAAACATGTTCTGAGATCAAGGATCAGTGGTAGCTGGGATAGCACAATAGTTATGGAAGACTAGAAAAAAAAATTCAAGCAATTTAAGATATCTAACTTGAAAACAAGGTAAAAAGGAAGTACTTTACAGTTAGATATGCACATCCTAGGAAAGCATCTCTAGCCCCTAAACCAAGAGGTTTTGTGTAACTGATAACTGATACATCTCCAAGCTGGCCTTTCCTCAGGAAGCTTAACTGGCTCTTACAGCATACAATTAACCACCCACAACCTATTGCAGCATAGCATTGCTTGTCCAGCATTAACAACAACACTGATACTTTAAATACCCACAATAATCAAGAGTCAAAAATCTGTGCTTCTGTAGGCTCTTGCCTTCTAGAGCCAGACTGATCTTATGGCATTGAAAAGATTCTGAAAGAAAAATAATGACTTCTGCACCTTTTGTTATCGCAAGTAGCTGCTAGGATTCCTTCCAAGAAAAATACAGATATTCTGTTATTAATAAGCTGTTTTCCTGAAAAGCAGAAAGTAAAACTTATTCTTACATGGACTGAGCTCTGCTTGCAGCATCTGGTTTTGCAGTGGAGGAAGAAATTCCCCCTTCAGTATTTCAGTTCTCCCCGTGATCAGCTGTAGGCACTACATTACATACTAGACAATTTGAGTCAGGGAATGTGATTCTTCTGGAAGTTTTAAACTTCTTTAAAGTTTTATTTTCATTCTTTATTATGATTCCTAATTTAAGTAAAAAGTTCTTTGGAGGATTATGAAATCAGACTGGAAGCCAAATAACATGAGAAAAAAGAAGAGCATCAGAAGTAACTATTTTTCTGTCTAAAATTATTTTTTCTTCCCTTTCAATTGCCTTTACATGTGTGGTACAAGAGCCTTTCTTTTGTATTGTTCAACCATAAGACAGGTTGTAGTACAGAATCTTCCATAAGAATAATTGGTAGGAACAGCATACGTAATGTAGGATGTAAGCATTTCATAAATCAGTTCCCTAAAGCACAGGCTTTGTTGCTGGTATTATTTTTGTAAACATTCCATTCCAGTCCCTGCTGCTCTGATGCTAATTGTTGTAAAGAAATTGTAAGCTATACCAGTATTATTTTTAAAGCTTTTATTAGTTCATTTTTGCCTACTTACAGTAGAGTTGGTCCACTGTGCACTCCTAGAAATGCATCATCATTGATAACTTTGAGGTATTTGTTCTTGTGCAGATAGCTGCAGAAACAAACAAAATACAGTCATTTGGAAGTAGTTTTCCATAGGTTACCAAAGATCTCGAGTTTACTTACCTGCACAGAGGTACAAAAGCAATATGTATAAAGACCATCCATTCCCAATCACATATTGAAGCATAATCCGTTACTTCATTTTCTGTGTACCCAAGAAACAAAATACAGGTTTTTCATTTTGAAAAGCAATTAAATTACCCAACAAATACTTTATTTTTCTAATTTATTTATTGTCTTTGTTCCACATTTCTTCTCTCACTGTAATACACATAAGGACACATGCATACACACTATCTTCAAGTACGCATGTGTGAGCATGATGTCAAATAGTTCTGTTTTCTTTCATCAGAATGGGGTATGGGGAATTACATGATGGAACACATCATGAACAAACAGGAAAACAATTTCCTCTATGTTGTGAGTTCCATAAAATTTTTAAATGCTTTAAAATCTCCATAGTCGAGTGGAAGTTTCTACTTACAGGCCAAAAGTTAAGATCAAAGTTTTTTTATAAGAACAGCAAGGAAAGGGTGGGATGTTTGGTACCCCATTATAAACATTGACAAGTTAGCTTGTGATGTTGCTAGTAAGATAAAAAGTGCAATAGGAAGGTGGTCACAACAGTTGTCAGATGGTGTCTGTGAAGTTCATAGAGTCACAGAACATTCTGAGTTGGAAGGGACCCACAAGGATCATCAAAATCCAACTTCTGGCCCTGCAAAGAACAGCCCCAAGAGTCACACCATGTGCCTCTTGTCTAAACACTTCTGGAACTCGGTCAGGCTTGGTGCTGTGACCACTTCCCTGAGGAGCCTGTCCCAGTTTCCAACCACCCTCTAGGTGAAGAACCTTTTTCTAATATCCAACCTAAACCTCTATGACACAACTTCAGGTCATTCCCTCCTGTCCTGCCACTGGGTACCACAGAAAATCAGTCTCCTCCCCTCCCCCTTCCTCCAGTGAGGAATGAGTAAATGCAATGAGGTCTCCCCTTAGTCTCTTCCAAGCTGAACAGACCAAATGACCTCAGCTGCTCCTCATACATCACCTCAAGGTCCTTCACCATCCATCCCTTCTTTGGACACTTTCTTATAGTTTAATATCCTTTCTTATATTTCTTATAAAACTGCTCACAGTGAGGCCAGAGGAGAGCAGGACAATCCCTTCCCTTGCCCAGCTGGCAAGCTGTGGTGTGGAAAACATTAAGTAAATATTCTAATCCTTTCCTGGTTGAATTCATTGGTAAATTTTTCATAACATTCACTGGATATAAGCTTATATTAATCACCATAGTAAGAAATGAGAAGTAAATGCACTTTATCAGGGTTACACAACAGAAAGTCTTAGGGAGCCAAATAATGCTTCTGGCATATTACTCATTGGACATTACTCATGCCTTAAGCTTTGTTTCTTGCAGAGGAAAATAGTTTACATCACCTTCTCAGCTGTTGTTGTTTGAAATAAGCTTTCATTCTTTATTAATATATAGCATTCTAGCATCATTTGGTGCTTGTGTTTTCTGAGAACTGATTTTCATATTCTGTAAATGGCACACTATTGTTCTGATAATTTCCTTTAGTGTGCAAATTTCCTTATGATTTTGTCTGCAAAATGAATACAAAAATTAAAACCAAAGCAACAGTTAAGAATTAATCCAAGATTTCAACATCTAGGTTGTAGTGTTGAAGGACACAAAAACTGCTTAACCTAATAAAACCTGTCTGCTTTAGTAACTAGACACTATTATGCAACTACTTAATTGCTTGTCTAATTTTGAAATATTTTCCCCTGATGTTTGTGTACCATTGTGACTAATAAACCTGAAATATAATAGCTGATATGCCTGATAAAAATCTTTAAAGTTACCAATAGAAACAGCTAGAGACTTTGGGAAGTACAGAACCATGTGTTACTAAGGAGGGGCTGCAGTGTCAGCTGCCAGTTTTCACATCAATGAGTCAAACCATCAGAATGTACAATTTCCTGATGCTAATTGGTTTCAGTTGCTTAGGCCCTTTTATTTTGATAGGTACTGCTTTTAGATGGAAAGAATAAGGCTTTGGTAAATACTAATTTGACCAAAAAAAGCTTATGTAGAGTCAGTTCCTTCTAAAAGCACCATTAATCCTGTTACAGATAGTTAAATGATACAGAATGTCATTTAAATTCCCTGCAGAAGAGCAAACCACAACAGTGGGAGCAACATATATTAATAATTTCCTCCATGTTGTGAAGTTTTAGAAATGACATAGTTGATGTGTAATATCTCGCCTCAGTGGGGACACTAGAATAATCAAAATTTTGGGATGCTGGTGGATGGCAAGAAGATACACATGAATACCACAATGCAAACTGCAGGAAATCTGTAGCGGTAAGGGCAGAATCTGGAGTAGGAGATGCTTATGGTTTTGTAGTGCTGTAAGTAAATGAAGGCCCTTTTTCACATTTTTCAATCCAGTCAGAGCAGTAAACCACCTATACTTGTGTCAAGCCTCTATGGACTCAGGGTTAGAGGTATTCTTCAGTAGGAAGAATATTGTGTTAAGGCTCAACCACAGCAGAAAACAACATAACTGCAGGATGCTGAGCAGGACCTTCTGATGGCACAAAATGCTAACAAGACATTTCAAGAGCTATGTAAAACATATGCATCCAGCTGGGTTATGAAATGAAGGTTAAAGAAAGGGTAGCAGGTAAAAAAGAGCCAAGTGAGCAGTACTAAGGATTCATCATACGATTTTTTCACACAATTGTTTTTCTTAACTCTGAGCTGTGCCAAGAATTATAAGTGAACCCTGAAAGTGTATACTAAAGCAAATATATTCTTTTGGAGTTTATTTTTGTGATTAGATTTTGAGATCTCACACTTTCCACTTCAGTAATTTAGATAGCTCTGTAAAAGCTCATCACAAATATATTTTGCCATTTGCTGAAAATATATTTTAAAACTCTTCTTCCCTCATCAATTACCTTACAGAAATAAACATTGGTGCAGCAGCACTACTTTGCAGGAGTGATGCAGTTTAGGACTTTAATGATGGGTTAAGATGATGGAGTCAAGTGTCAGATGAATGCTTTTCAGTAAAAGTGTCATTCAGCCCTTCGTTCCTGGTTCCTGACTTCCCTGCCCTTATAAACCTTACACAGCAATACTGTGGTTTGCTGTTAAACCCTGATCCTTGTTGGATGACAAGATCAACTAGGTAGTGCTATTATTCATTATGATAATGCAAACCCTATGTCCATGGTTTTTCACCTGTACTTGCATTAATTATTTTGGCCTCCTTTAATTATATAGGCATTTTTAATACTGCAAGAGTGGTAGACAGGCATAATGTATAGTAGAAGATAGCCTCCAAGATTCCCAAAATGTCTTCTGATTTATGGATGGAACATGAAATCTTTTAATAGTTTGCCAAAAATTTATTATTGTTTTTTGATTATTTTGGTTCTTAACTTATTTTTGTCCTTGAGATAGTAATTTAAAACACATTCAAATTTCCCTCATCTTTTTTCTATTTGTTTTTGCTCCTATTTATGTTAAATTCAAATGCTCTTGGATCAGACCCAGAGAAAAACAGGTACTTCCTTCACTATACAGTGGTAGATAAACAGGAGTTCAAATTAGAAATGTCAGAATAGAGAAAATGAAATATTTGCCTCTTACATTAACTTAATGCTGCTGCTAGAAACAACAAATCTCCAAGCTTGCACTTAGCAAAATTATATTTTATCCTGTCATATGGTAACCAAACTACTTCAGAAAATTAGTTTAGAAATTTCAGTATAGTTTATCAAACAGATAAAGTCTTTATCACTCATGTTCAGCTCCCTTGTTTGCCTTATACATCTAGAATAGTGCTCTGCTCCAAGTAAATGTCATATGATTTAATTACGAGAAACGTGTTTATTGTAATAAACCATTTTTACTGCTGGTAGGTAAACCCATGGACATAAGTCTAGTTTTAGTTATTCTGTTGTTTGTTTGTTTGGTTTTTTTTCTTTTTAAATTTGATTGGCTAGTGCATCATAGCCAGTCTCTGCCAGGATTCACTTAGGATCATAAATTGTAGAACATATCAGGTTGGAAGGGACCCATAAGCATTATGGAGTACAACTCCCTAGTCCTTGCAGGACAATGAAAAACAAAATCGTGACTATGACCATCATCCAGATGCAATTTGAACTCTGTGCTGTGACCACTCCCCTGGGGAACCTGTTCCATGGACTGACCACCCTCTTGGTGAAGAACCTTCACCTAATGTCCAATAGAACTTCCCCTGGTGCAGGTTCATTCTGTTCTCTTGTCTCCTATCACTGGTCACCAGAGAGAGATCAGCTCCTGCCCCACCCTGAGGAGGCCATGGGCTGCCACGAGATCCCTTCCCCACGTTCCCCTTCTCCAGGCTGAACAAGCCAAGTTACCACAGCCACTCCTCCTAAGTCTTGCCCTCAACGCCTTTCACCATCTTGGCTGCTCTCCTTTGGACACATTTAAGGGTTTGATATCCTGCTCATATTGTGGCACCCAAAACTGCCCCCAGCACTCGAGGTGAGGCTGTCCCAGTGGAGAGCAGAGCAGGACAATCCCCTCCCTTGCCTGGCTGGTTGATTCTGTGCCTGATGCACCCCAGGACAGGATTGGCCCTCCTGGCTGCCAGGGCAATGCTGGCTCAGGTTGCCAGTGACCAGGACCCCCAGATCTACTTCTGTGGGGCTGCTCTCCAGCCTCCCACTTTGTATATATAACCAGGATTACACTGTGTCAGATGGAGAATCCAGCAATTGTTCTTGTTAAATTTAATATGGATAGTGATTGCCCAGCTCTCAAGTCTGTCCAGATGTCTCTGTAAAGCTCTCTACTCTTAGCCTTAAAAAATACTTACATATCTTTACAGAATACTAATTACAATTTTTTTTTTCTAAAAATAAGCATTTAGTATCTACAGAGGCTAGTATGTGCTGTCTGCTTCTCTCCATCCCAGTTCAATAAAGCTGATGTTTAGGACTCCAGATCTTCTAAAACAACATTTTTCTTTGATTCTTTAATAAAAAGGAGAATTCCAAAGACAGAAGCAATAGCACCTGCATACTATGAGAGAAGCATAAAGAACAATTGCTACAAAAATAGTGTCCAACCTGTGTTTTGTCAAAATGTAAGAAATGGAAGAGCCAACACAGTTCATATATTGGCTAAGGCTTGTAGAGTTTCTGAGTATTGCTGCACGCAGCTTAGAGGGATTCAGTCAAGACACTGGCTTTATTTCTGCCATATTTTGCATCTTGCGATTTCTGTGGGCACCAGTACAAGCACTATGTCATCATGGAAAACTTCCTTTTTCATGTGAAAGTTCAAAGTAACTGAACTAGTGTGAATAAAATCAAATCTATTCCAGGTCTTTGGTTTAACTCAAACCTTTCAGCAAGTCTAGCTTGCTGCTAAGCTAAAATAGGCAGTTTGGAAAGATTAGGCCATGTGAAGGATGCTCTTATGGAATTCTTATAGAATTCAATCCTAATTTAAAATAAAGTACTAAAAAATAATTATATCTTTCTGTATGTCTCTCTGGTTAATTTAAGAGCCCATGATGAAGAAATCTCTTTACTCATGAGAGTGACAGACTTTTTGGTCAAGCCTCTGTAGGACAAGAGTAAGCTCTGCCATGTGAATGGAGTCTCTAGAATTGAAATTTAATCTCTCTTAATGATTGAGGCAGATGATTTTGGGTATGGTGTAAAAGATATTCACTAACTAAATATTATTTTTTCAGAAAATACAATAAGAAGTTGCAAGGAAATATGAAATGGTTCATTCATGCTTTTGAGATGTGCATCTCATTTCCAGTGTCTGGTTTCTCTGAATTGCTCCCAGCATCTTACACCACTCTTTTTTGCAGGTAAGTGACACCTGTGCAAAAAAATGCTACCATTATCAGTGCTACACTTACTAACACAATAAGTCTTGTTAAAAATAAGGCATAATTATCTTCCAAATTGTCTTAGAAAAGGTACTGATCAAATGAAGTTTTACTGTAGCTTCAAACCAGAACAAAACTCACAGTGGAATTACTTGTTGTGGTTTTATTTCTGAGCTATAAATATACATTCTAAATGAAAGCACACTGCAAAAGACATTAAGCAATGATACTGTTACTGCTGGCTGAAATTAACATCCTCTCTTGGCTCCTTTAAAGTGATTAAAACAGGGATACGTATTTCAGAGCCTCAAATCAGCAGAGATGTTTGGGTTTTTTCTTCTGAAAGAAGAGAATTACCTGCTACTTACATAGCATCCAGATTTGTCCCATTAAAAGCATGGCCTTCAATACTGGTGAAACCATTATTGTAGAGTTTACTGCAAACAAAGAACAAATTATATCAGTGTATTCTGGCCTGCTTCAATACATGAATACCTAACATCTTATGCATCATTTTCCTTTGCAATAGCACCTTTATGGGTGGCTTACATTTAATCTCTTGAAGAAGCAGTAGTTATTGTGCAAGTTTAAACAAATGCCCAGAAGGGTTCTTGAGTTCACCTAAATCAAGGATATGATGTGGCGCATGTGCCATCTACCTCTTTTTACAGCAATGATAGACTGGACCACTTTGCTATAATTTTCCCACACTTAAACTAAAAGCAAGAAAACAAAATCCTTCAAGGATTGATTAAGGAAGGCTAAAGGAACTAACTAGCAAAAAAGGTCTGATCAGGCATGCCTTAAATTTTTAGAATTCATTCTTTTACTCCCTTAGAGCAAAAGGATTTTTTTTAAGAATTTCTTTAGAATTCATCTATTTGCATTCTAATGCTCTTCCTTCCAGTTCAGGTCATAACTCATTATAGTAATTTAATTCCCATCAGCCCTTTCTTGTGGCTCACATTGACTGACTTGCATTACTGAACTGTATTTAGGAATTTTCTTTCAAATATGACTCTTCTGATGTTTGCCATCTATTATGTTTCCATGGTATGTACCACTCAGGTTGCAAAAAAAGTTAGATACAGTTATAACCCTGATGAAGCTTTACAGGGGGAGAACTTTGCAAATTTTCTCCTTTGATTTTTTTTTCAAATATAAACATTCACTGGCACTAGGATAACAAAAAAACGTTACTTTAGTCAAGCCAGTTTAAAGAAAAGAGCAGGACTGATTCAAATAGCTGTCAAAGTACAGAATTTATCAAACTAGCAAAGTAGAATATGTCTGTATGTCTGTGAAGTCTCTCTGTTACAAACTACTAGAGAGTAGGACAGGAGTAGTTTAATTTTTAAACATTTTGCCATAGGCAATTACCAGAAAGGTGATTGCCTTATGCCTTAAACTGGAAGAACTTACAGGGTTAGAGATTCATTGCAAAGCCCATGGAAAGCATTTGCAGGCACTGAAGTCATATAAGGATTATCTGCAATTTCACTGAAAAAGGAGACAAAATATCACAATCAAACATCTGCCCAACAGAGCATCTGGAGAACAGCTTTGTTATTATTGTTCTCTGCCTTGATAATAAATAGAAGTTTAAAACATAATTATTTAAATAATTTAAATTTACTTTATTATTAATATATTATAAAATAAATAACATTGCCATATTTATTATATTATAAATTTAAGTATATTTATTCAAATAAATAAGTTTAAAAATAATAACCTGTTATGTTATATCTAAGGCCAGAAGATACATGTAGGATGAAGAGTTGAGCATATTCCAGCACCCAGGAAGATAGCTTGTGAGGTAAATGTGTTTTGTAGTTCTGGTGAGGTGTGCCAGCCTGTGTGATAACTGGCTAATGTCACAGAAAGGTCTCTGGTCTCATGAGCCAGAATTAGCAGAGTGAGTAAACATTAGCTGCAGTGTCAATGGAACAACCCACGTGGCTTTAGAGCTGACATCCTGCTCTCTAAATTCAGATGTCAGATATTACATTATTCAGGACAGAGGCATTTTACTTTACAGAAGTGTATCTAGCACATCTCTTTCACAAGTAAGTGAAATAACTTACTGATTTTTCTCACCTCTTATCCAAAGGAGTGTTTCACTACTCATTTCTTACATTTTTTTTAAATCCTACTCTGCAGTCTTAGTAAATACTATGTATCTTCAGACCAAAATTCTGTTGTAACAAAAAAGAGAAAGGAAACTAAAGAGATTCACTGTTACTAAACTGGAGAAAGGAGAGAGGAAAAAGCTGGTAGAAACAAAGGGCAGAACAAAGCCTTTGATTGCCCTTTTTCTGATTTTTTTCTGAATATTAGTATAGTCTGGGAATGAAAATATTTTGCAAAGGTTTCTTTTTCTTCAGCTTACAGATTAGGAATGGCCTAATAAGGCCCATGCATAAAGTCCATGGGCTGAGAAGTCCTAACAATTACCCATGTGCCAGAAATAACTTAATTCCTTTTCTGTGCTACATTTGTGCATATATATGTGCTAACACTGAATCATTATTCTTCGCATTTATACTACAACCATTATTCGCATTATACTACAACCATTTTCATTCCAAGTAATTTTTCCTGATAGGTGGTTTCCACCACAATTTATTTGGGTTTGACTTTTTGCAGATTGGTTCATTTTTTTCTAAATATATGTTTACTTGTAAGTTGCTTGACCTCAAAGGCAAATAGTAACATAATGAATGGATTTCCCCCAAGCTATACCTTATTAATTATTTAGAAACCTATTATTTTTGAAGAACATTTTTTTTCTTGATTGAAGAAACAAAAATTCTTTAATTGAATAACAATATTTATAAACATATATAATAGAAATATCTTCCTTGAAAGTATAGGTCCATTCTTTAAAAACTCTGTGCAGCAGATAAGACCTATATTTATCTTTTGTTAGTTACCGCTATAAAAAAAATATCAAGACAGAAGTAAAACAATATTTCGCTTTCTGCCACTTAGAAAGGCACTGAGTTAGTTGGAAGTAAGAACAAAGATGGTTGTATAAACTGCTTTGTTTCCTCTAGCCTGTTCAATTCTTGGTTCTCTCTGCTATGTAGAAGTAGATCTAGCAGAGTTTTCAATCCAAGCTGAAGCCCTTCTGATCTTTGAGAAACTCCCTAATAGTTCTTAAGATCTTAGTTCTTACATCTCGCTCAGAGCTCTGACTTGGGTTTTAATCTTGGAGGCCTACAGCCAAGGTCAATGTGTGTTAGAGCAAAGCTTATTTCTGCTCTCAGAAGATCCTTGGAAGGGAACATCTCACTGCTTCCTACAGGTCTATACTTTTTAGCAAAACAACCAGCATTTCTCTATTTCTCCGAGTTCATCTTGCCAGTGGCAGACCATGAATGCAGTGGGAACTGACCCTTCTTGACCAAAAACACTGCTTAGCAGCACTGAAACAAGGCCTGCAGTGGATCATCAATCACATCTTTGCAAATCACCTTCTAACATAACACTTCTCATTTTTAATTGCCTTTTGCCTAGCCCATCCAGCATTCAAGCCTCTTCCAGCTGAAAACTTCTACAATATAAGATTCCTAACTCTTCTCTGGGACCAAGAAGTGACCAAGATACTTTTACCTTGTGTCAGCCTGCAAGTATGTGTGGTACTCTTCCTCCTCAGCTTGATTACAAACCAAAATTCTGCCTTAGATTAACACATGTGGATATTGTCTGTGCTTTTTAAATAACAAGAAACTCCTGCTTATTTTATTTGTTTTTGTTTTTGAAATGCCTCTAAGGATAATAGTGGGAGACCTCCTTGTCCCCATTCTCATTCTCATTCTCTTTCTTCAAGAAGTTGTTTTGCAATTTGCTTCACCATGCCAGCACAAATTTGTTTGAAGAATTTTGATAGGATGACTTGATGTTAGAAGGATGTATGCCAGCTCATACATCCTTCTAACATCACACAATTCTGACTTGATATTAATTCAGGTATTGCACAGCCATTGCAAAACAAAAACCAAAATAAAAGCAAAGGGCCTGTAGAAGTTGTGTATCATGAACGTGCTGTGTATCATGTCTCTAATTCAGGTCAAACGTGTAGTGCTAGGTGAGTTGGCGTTTTCTAGATTTGTGCTAATGATCATTGAAATATTGCTTGAGGAAAACCACTTTGTCAGAGTTAAATGATATTTTTCTCAAAACCAGAAACCTTCATTATAGGTTTTCTTGTGGTCTGAGGCTGGCAATATTCTAACCAGCTGTGAGGACAGATACTTACAGCAAAAAATTCACATCAAATGAATAGATCTTGTTGAGATCTGGAAATACTTTGAGTCCAGTATTAAAAATACCACTGAAAGACATGAGAAACAGAAAGAATTACTGCATCACTGAAGAACAACAAGCAATGTATTTGAAGTGTTTAACAGAGCAGGATGGTTATTGCATTCTCTCTATTGTCAATCAATTAATTTATAATCAGCTGTCCAAAACAGAAGGATTGAAGAACAATATTAAAAATTAAAAATGCCAGACTTACGATAAATGATAGAATCTAAAAAATGAGAACACATATTAATAAGACAGCCAAGCATATCTGCAGAGGGAAGCATCTTCTGAGGTTGATCGGAAGAAAATAATTAAAACTCTGGTTTATTTTAACTTGGGACATTAAAACCACTTCAGTTAGTAGTCTGGACCCCTGAATCCTCTATCTTTCATTGAGGCTAAGAGTTGTTCATATAGCTCTAAAAAGGGAAACTGTCTTAAAATGTGAAGTGCTTAAAGTCCATTCTTTATGAACTCCTATAGACTGAAAATAATTGTAGTTCTCAATTTTAAAACTATTCTCCTAAAACGGAATTTTTTGCTACTTTATTTTTTTATTGCTTTCACATCTATAGGAAAAACCTGGACAAATCTTTCCTCCTTGCCACTGCCCCCACCACCAACACATGGAGGCCTTTCTTTCAAATATTACTCAAAATCACAGAAGTTTCTTTAGGAAATCATGGGAAACTTTCAGGATTTCTTTCTGCCATAGAGGTCATATGAAATCAGGTATCTACAGGTGAGCTTTTCACATTTGGCTGGCAGGTATGCTTTAAAACCCTGTGTAAATGTGTAATAAATACTAAATACATGTATATATCTGTTGTGTCCCTTCTTTCCTCTATTTCCTACAAAAATAGAGTAAGACAGCACTTAAGAAAAGAGCTAGCTGTGGAATTTTGCTATGGAATATCAGTGTGTTCTAGATATTTAATAGATAAAACAAATGGGAAAACTACTGATGAATTTGTGAATATGTTTTCCTTTCTCACAAAAGTAGTAAGAGTTCTGACCCCTGCCTGTGCTGGCTTTCTGTCATTAGAATGAAGAACAGGGGAAAAAATGACAGTCAGCTCCAAAATCAAATGCAAGCTAACAAAACTGCTATCATGTAAAGAGTCATCTGTGAGATTTAAGTGCCAATCTGTTACAGGTACTGAATACTTACAGGTATTTCAGAAGTGGGAGGTTCTTAAAGGCATTTGGATCTATGTAATCCAAGTTTCTAAGATTTCGAATTTCACTGTAAAAAGGAAGGAATATTGATAATTAATATTTAATAATGTATCAGAACAGAAATCAGCAATATTATAATTAAATTTCAGGGAACTAACTCCTGCAACAAGCTTTTTGTACTGGATAGCACTAGCTCAAGGCCAGAGCAATCTTACAATGATGCATTATCATCTGGATAGGTGCCATCTTGCCATCCTGGGGACTGGCCTTTTGAAGCAAGAGGATAAGAAGTACCTAAGATTTGGTTACGAATCCTTTGTCTGCATGGTCCTAAAATCAAAACAAATATCCTGTGGTAATGGCTATTACTTTGAACGTGGTGAGGCTTTTGAGTCTGCAACATTGAGTAAAAAGAACAAAAGTAAAATCTTCAGTCTTTTTATATAATAATCCTATCAAATTATAACCATCTATGCACCTTATAATTTTATGTACCATTTTTCTGCTTACTTTCTTCATGGGTCTGACAGTATTTTGTATTATTTTTTCCTGTGTCTTTTACAGAACTCAACAAGAGATGGCTCAGTGACGTAAATCAACTTTGTTCTGAGACTTGGACACAGCATTCACTACATAGGCATGCCCAGCAGTAGAGAGGATAGCATATCTCTTTGCTTTATAACAAGGCAAGACATAACATAGATTTCATTCCTTATATCTCCTGTCCACAGTTAAGTCTTTCAACACTTCTACCCAAGAGACAGCTTGGTCTGCAAATGGCTTTTTAGTCAGCACATGTTGAAAAACCAGCCTGACACTAATCACAGCTGTGGCCATGATGGTGCTTTCTGTAGGTGTGTTGGTGAGGCTGCTGCCCCTCCAGCCACCACCATCATTGCCAGGAGTCATTACTCTTCCTCATTTTTCTGAAATGTTTGTCTCTTCCTATAGTACAATTTCCCTCAATATTTCTAATTCCTCTGTTTTCTAGCAGATTTCTTTATTTTCTATCTATAACAACAACCAGCAGTCTGGCTGCATCAAGCAGACTCTACCAAAATTCTCAGTATTAATTAGATTCAAGAGACCTACCAATTTTCAAATTTTATTTAAAAAGCCCTCCCCCATCACATGCATAATTTTAGTTTCTTGGACTCTTTACTGATTCCAGAAGGGTATGGATGGTTTTGCATATTTGCTTCTATTTGTTTAAATCAGCTCTGGACACTGGTCTCATAACACTGCTGAAACAACTCTCAGCCTTTCTTAAAATAGAAACTATATTGAAAGAATGGTGCTAGTCTTCCTTCTGATACTAGCAGTGGAGCAATGGGTCTGAAGAAAACATTTCTAGCTATTTATATAGGGAAATTTGATAAAGATGACAGATTTAGATGGTATGGTGGTGCAGGTTATGTGGGTGATCTTCCAGCCTTAAGTCAAAGAAGTGCTGCTACTGGACAGAGACCCAGTGGGCAGAAACCAGTAGTATTTAATTTACAATGGCCTAAGTGTGCCAAGTAATCTATATAATATAAGAATCAGAAAATAGGGATTTAAAACTACCTCTCTAACTCTGGAATTGTTTTAATAGGATAAAATCAACCCAGACAAGTTGTCTAAGAAATAGAAGTGAGAAAAGAGGCAGAAGTTAGTAGACAAATCACTATGTAGACACTGGTACAAAGACTTCAATCTCTCCATATATTGTTGTACTGACAAAACAGTTCTGCTTCACCTTTCTAGTCATCAGTTTTCTCTCTGTTTACTAAAACACTGCAGGGAAATGAGGATTCCCCTTTTACTTGCATGTTAAATTGATGTCATTAATTGCTCTTGTACTGCTACTATAGTGCTGCATTCAACTATTCACATCTGTTAGCTACTTTGAACTGTAGCTGTGTTTCGGTATTTAAAAGAAATTCTCTCAGTGTCAGTTTCTTGCTTCTCTCCAGTTATTTTATTAGTTATGTAGCTATCACATTCCCAACACTGGAATTTGCTTCATAAATGTTAACTGACATGTTTTTTCCATCAATGACTGCTTTCAAAATGCTGGACTTGTGAGCTTCCTGGCCTGATAATCCTCTGTGGACCAAGCATATTCCAGGGAAAGACAGTCTTCAGCCTTTAGCCTGGAAATGGATAATGCATTGGAGTATCAAAGAGTCTTCAGGTTTTGGTTTATTGTTATTCATAGTATTCTGCTTAAATTATTTGGATAAGGGTCCTGGAAATAAGAATTCAAAATCAGCAGATGGTACTAAAATTAAAAGAACAAAATAATGTAATGAGACAATTTTAATGTATTAAGTAATTGGGCCATGAGAGGACATTTGCTGATTAAAAAAGGCAAATGAAAAGCTAATTAATCTGTTAATAAAATACTTTAAACAGCAAGATGAGACAACACAGTAATGAGAGAAAATCTTAAATAATGTGAGTGTGGGAATCAATGATTCAACTGAACACTGGGAAAAGGTTTATATCCCTGCTGTTCAATTTTCTTGAACTGGTAATGCTTGGATTCAAAAAGAAGTATGGTTAATATATACTGTATTCATACTTGCAATTCATCCTACACTTTGTATTGCAGAGGTGCCTTAAAGCCCAAAAGGAAGAAGAGGGCCATTGTGGAGCAGACAGCCAGGCTTAGAAGTGTCTTGTCAAAACAGATGAGAGAGGTATAAAAATAAAAGGCGTTTTGACAAGAGTGAGATTTACACTTAAAAAAAAAATGAGGATGGAAATCCAATCTTCCCTACTTCTAGTCCAGTCAAATGTGCATCCTGCATTTGACTGGCCTGAATATGTGGCCTCTCATTTTATCTGGATGAAAAGGAGAAAGATCTTGTGTGCCGTGGGTAAATAAATGCAGATAACACCAAGACGACCATGACACACAGCTGAAATGCAAAGAGTAGATTCATTCCATCATCTTGCTGGCTGGAGGATTCAAAAAAATCAAGTAGAGACACATGGACTGCTAGGCTCATATTAGCAGGGACAAAACACACTGATGCCTGAGTGCTCCTTACATATCAAAGGGGGCCTGGAACACGTGCAAATCTTCACTGGGCTGTGTTTTACAATCTCCTGCACTTCTTATCTCCTTACCCTGCTTATAAAGAGGCTCCAATTCTATAAGAAGAATGCTTTGAAGTCTTTCACAATTTTCTGTTATCTTGTGAGAAAATTTCATTTCTTTAGTAGACAAAAAATAACCAAAACAAACACAGATATATGAATTCTCTGACACTGTTTTCTAACATCTCTTCATTGCAAGTTTGGTTTCTGAAAGAAAACAATTCTAATCTGATTTATTTTTCTCTCGTCTTGCCAATCTTCTCTTTTCCAACCCTTGCCTTCGCACAGATCTTCAAATTCATTTCCATTCATGAACTGCGCTGCTGTCCTTGTTTTAAATACTCAAACACAATTAGACTTAGAGTACTGGAAGGAATTCCTCCATAAAATCACAGATTTCAAGTGTATATATTGCTCCATTAATATTAGAGCCCATGAAGTTAAGCCTGTAAGGAGGAAAGATATTTGAATAGTTCTGATCTTATCAATTAACAGGACAAACTGCATTTCACAATTTCTTTTACAGTAATCAATCATGAGTAATATACTCAAAGGCACATAAATGTTATATGACTGTAATTTTCAAACTGCAATCAAAAGACTGTTATGGTGTAAAGATTAATTCCAAAAAGTCCATAAAGATAGAGGAACATGTTGATTATCAGTAAATTCATTAAACAGCATTTGTACTTTTATCATTTGACTTCTATGAATTGGTGAGTTAAAAATATTGAAACTCATGAAATTATAAAGTTATGGTTCTTTAAAAAGCAGGTCTAGGAAAACTATTAGTAGTTTAAGCTGCCTAAAATACCGAAAAAGCCAAAGAGTATACTTAAAATGCCTAATAAGCTGGTTTCCAGAAATCTAAGTGTCTGTGAGAGTTGATTTTAAATTACTTTTGATACACAAACTTTTGCGTGTCAAAACCCAGCTTTGACACGCTGTACAAATAGAACAATCATGGCATACAGCAGTGTTAAAATTCTGAGTCCTTCTGGGCATTAAGTGCTTTTAAGATATCAGAAAACCTGAGACAGTTAGTAGGCATTTTTATTGACCATTGATGCAAAAAGGCAAAAGGTGCACTGAACAATCATTTCACTTTTCAGTCCTAACTGAACTAACTTAGAGATGCTCATTAAAGAAAAAAAAAAAAGTACGGTGCTACTTACCCACAAGCTAAGAGAGTGGAGTACTTACAAAAGTATTCAAAGTTGCTTTACAAACTCTATTCTTGTAAGTACAGAAACCATTTAAAAACTGGCTTATTTGTGCTTTAAAAAACACTTGATGTTTGAAATTTTAGTTCTGGCACTCAGACTAGGAATTAAAAATTTACCAGGTCACAATCAAATCACCACCTGACTGTCCAAGAACAGCAATTCACTTTTCCTTTTTAATGAAAACACACAAAAAACTTCATTGCATCAAGAATGGATGTGCAGAGAAAGTCCCTTGATGATATAAAGATATGTGTCAAGACTTACAAATAACTCTGAGCTTATCTTTAGTTGCAAAGCTATAACTACTTTCAAATCCAAATTAATCTAAAAATGAAACTAATAGTAAGAACTATTCAAATATTGGGCTAATTAATTAATTGAGACATATGTTTGCCAGCTAACTTTCAGAAATGTTAATATGCTACTTAAAATTCTATCCAAATTTGGTAACATTAAAAGAAGCACAAACATTTACCTATTTAAGTGGAATCTAAATTTTGTTTACCAGATGTGTTTTTCATACCTGCTTTGCAATATTGATACATTCTTGAGTCTGTTTAAGCCCAAAATTCAGAAATTGCAAATCTGGCTTTAGAGTAGCAATATAACCATGTTATATTGTGCTGAGATACCTACAAAGACTAAGGATATCCAGGTCAACAATTGTGAAATGTTTTAAATAATCTTTTTTTCATTGTCTTGTAATAACCTGGGTCCCCCTCTCTACCTTCTGAGACTTAGTAGCTACTTTACC